CCCGGCGCCGGAGGAGGAGGAGGAGGAGGGCCCGGCCCCCGCCCAGAGCCCCCGTGGACCGCTGGGCCCCGTCCCAGGCATGGTGCTGTACCTGTGCCCCGAGGCGCAGTGCGGACAAACCTTCGCTAAGAAGCATCAGTTGAAGGTGCACCTGCTGACGCACAGCAGCAGCCAGGGCCAGCGGCCTTTCAAGTGCCCCCTGGGCGGCTGCGGCTGGACCTTCACCACCTCGTACAAGCTCAAGAGGCACCTGCAATCGCACGACAAACTGCGGCCCTTTGGCTGCCCGGCGGAGGGCTGTGGCAAGAGCTTCACCACCGTGTACAACCTCAAGGCGCACATGAAGGGCCACGAGCAGGAGAACTCCTTCAAATGCGAGGTGTGCGAAGAGAGTTTCCCCACGCAGGCCAAGCTCAGCGCCCACCAGCGCAGCCACTTCGAGCCTGAGAGGCCCTACCAGTGCGCGTTTTCCAGCTGCAAGAAGACGTTTATCACAGTGAGTGCCCTGTTTTCCCATAACCGTGCCCATTTCAGGGAACAGGAATTCTTTTCTTGCTCCTTTCCTGGCTGCAGCAAACAGTATGACAAGGCTTGTAGGCTGAAAATTCACCTGCGGAGCCACACTGGTGAGAGACCTTTTCTTTGTGACTTTGATGGCTGTGGCTGGAACTTCACCAGCATGTCCAAACTCTTACGGCACAAAAGAAAGCACGACGATGACCGGAGGTTCACGTGCCCTGTGGAAGGCTGTGGGAAATCTTTCACGAGGGCCGAGCATCTGAAAGGCCACAGCATAACCCACCTGGGCACAAAGCCTTTTGTGTGTCCTGTGGAAGGCTGCTGTGCCAGGTTCTCTGCTCGCAGTAGTCTCTACATTCACTCCAAGAAGCACCTGCAGGATGTGGACACTTGGAAAAGCCGTTGCCCGGTCTCCACTTGTAATAAACTCTTCACATCCAAGCACAGCATGAAGACCCACATGGCCAAAAGGCACAACCTCGGCCAGGATCTCTTAGCTCAGCTAGAAGCTGCAAATTCTCTTACGCCCAGCAGTGAACTTACCAGCCAGGGACACAATGATCTCAGTGATGCGGAGACAGTGTCTCTCTTCTCTGATGTGCCTGGCAATAGTTCTGCTGCAGTGCTGGACACAGCATTGGTGAACTCTGGAATCTTGACTATTGATGTGGCTTCTGTAAGCTCAACTCTGGCAGGGAACGTCCCTGCTGATAATAATAATTCCTTAGGGCAGGCTGTGGACCCTCGGGCCTTGATGGCCACTGGCGACCTTCCTCAAAGTCTGGATACCTCTCTCTTTTTTGGAACGACAGCCACCAGTTTTCAGCAGAGCCCGTTAGGTATGGATGAAGTCTCAAGTGTAAGTGTGGGGCCATTGGGATCTCTGGGCTCTTTGGCTATGAAAAACTCGAATCCAGAGCCCCAAGCTTTGACCCCCAGCAATAAGCTAACAGTAGACACAGATGCTCTGACTCCTTCTAGCACCCTTTGTGAAAACAGTGTCTCAGAACTACTGACATCAACCAAAGCAGAATGGAACGTACAAGCTGACTCTGACTTTTTTGGACAGGAGGAAGAAACCCAGTTTGGATTCTCCAATCCAGCAGGAAACCATGGTTCTCAGAAAGAAACAGACCTTATCACAGTGACTGGCAGCTCATTTTTGGTATGAACCAACTCTATTTATTCATCGCCATCTGGCTTACTTTTGTTACACTCAGTTCTGAGGATATTCTGGACTAAATGTTTAAATGCAGTCATTTCTTACTGGTTTGCAAAAGAACAGAGCCCTGGAAGACACGTTTGGAGACTTAAATTCTGATCTTGAGTCTGGAACTGACAAGTTGTGTGACCCTGAGCAAGTCACTTAACCTATCTGAGCCTTAATTTCCTTATTTATAAAAAGGGGTGGTTAGAATAGATTGTTTCTAAGGTCTTTTCAGCTCTGTGATTCTTTGGTAATATGTTTCTTTCCTTGAAAAATATTAGGACATCTTTCAATGATGATGTTACATGTGCTTTTTTCAAACACGAGGTTAAATTATATTATAATCATTTGTGTACTTTGCCCCCAACTTCAACAATTACCAATTCATGAAGAATCTCATTTAACTAATGCCTACTGGCTTCCCCTCTTCCAGTATTATTTTTGAAAAATACCAGACATCACGACATTTATCCTTAAATACTCAATTTATATCTGTAAAAAATATGGGCTCTTTGGGGAAGAAACTATTATTCCATTATCATACTTAAGATTAACAGTAATTCCATAATACTAATAAATCTAAAGTCAGGTTTCAGATTTTTAGTTGCCTCATATATGCTACTTGTTTTAATATTTTTAACATAATTAGAACCTCAGCAAGTCTCTTTAATGTCTTATTAATCGATACATTACCCCTTCCTCTCTTTTTTTTCCTTGTGATTGTATATGAGGTGGTTTCACAGGTAGCATTTGCCACAATCTAAGTTTTGCTCATTAAATCCCTTTGATGGAGTTTTCTTTCCTCTATCCCCTGTTTTCTCAATTGGGTAGGTAGTTGGATCTGGAGACTTGATTAGATTTAAATACGATTTTTGCCATGAATGTTTCACGGGTGGTTTTTTTTTTTTTTTTTTATTAGGTGGCACATAATATCTGGCCTTCTCTCTTTTTGTGATAGTAGCAGCTGCTGCTGATCAATGCATTAATTCATGATTACCTGTGCTTCTGATGTGATGAACTGTCCTTGTAGAGTTACTAACAATTAGTGGAGGAGAAAATGCTGGGTAAGGCACTTATAAAAGTTTAATTGTATTATTCAGTGCCAAAATATATTCTTAAATAGTGATAAAACTGAAAAGAAAAAACAGATAGCAAAAAATGTTATTACTGTTGATCTTTCTGATCTCTTCTGATGTTGGGAGACTGTGTTGTAGAAATCGCTGGACAGGGTTTTGACATGAAACAGACCCAGGGTCAAATTTGGGCTTTCTTGTGTTAGATAAGTGGTCTTGAATAAGTTAGTTTCACTAAGCCTCAGTTCCTAGCTTTTAACTGATCATAGCAATGCACACACATACCTAAAACAGTTCTCTTCTGTCCCAGTTTTTCACATGTAAGGAAAAGTATTATTTATTTTGGCATGCTTTCATAAATTTATATCATCTCCTTACCCTCTCAGTCCTTCTGAGAACTAGGCATTTCATAACTAAAGCCAAAACGTTTCATTATTTTAGTTACACTATTTCCCATTTGTATTGTCAGGGCTAGGGGTTAGGGCCCATAGGCCCTTCAAACCCGTTGTACAGGTTGGGTCACAAACCCCTCACAGGGCAGGTCCATGCAAATTGGGAAAGATCCCAGGAGCCATTAGCAGATGATACAAGCTCAGTTCCAGCAGTAGCAGCAGCAGAAGCGGCGACAGTGGCAGTGGCCTCTGGGGCATCTCGGGGGCACCAGCAGCAACAGCTTGCAGAAAGGGCCTCCAGCAGCAGTAGCAGCCTCCTGTGGCCCCCCTCCCCCCCCAAAGAGGCATGCCGGGGGCGGGGTCAACTCTGGATCAGAGCCACTCCTCCTTTATACTTAAGTCCATAACCCAGGACACCTGGGTGCACGTGCATATTTTCCTGCTGTAAGACAGAAATTGGGATAATTTAATCCTATTAATGTGCAGACAATAAAGGTTTATGAGGTGAAGCAGGTAAGAAAAATCTCTATTCTCTCCACTAAATAATTTTCCCCCCAAGATTGCTATGGGAAGTGCCAGGAGTGGAGACATTGCCGACATACATATCTGCATACCTCTCCATTTCATCAATTTGTCACCATCTTTACTCTGTTTTTGAAGTTAGGCATCTCTGTGACTGTGGAGCCAGTTTTCCACGAAAATCTGGTAATGGAGCAGAGGTTTCTTCTTCTCTGTGGTCTGGAGAGGTCATTGTTTGCACTTTCCCAAAGTTGAAAGGAAAGATTGAATTTGAATATTGTGTAAACTGTATTGTCTTCCATGAGTGCAGCATTTTGCAGTCTGTGGAACATTTTCACAACCTGTATCTCATTTGTTGTTCAGAACAACTCTGTGAAGTAGTTTTGGCAAAGTCTGTTATGTTTCATATTATAATTTAGCCAACTCACATTCCAGCTGGGCTTTGGCTATGACTGATAATTCTCTATATAGCTTAAAACAGTAAAGAAATTGTTTTTACCTCCCCCTGTCTGCCCATCCAACTTTCATGATTGATTCTTGCTATTTTCCAGTTTAATTGATTTCTATTACCTCTGCTTACTTTCTTGCCACTGTACTCCCTTCCATGTGCATTCCAGTTCTCGCCAGGCCTTTCTTTTCTATTTTTTAATGGATACATCTCTTTCTTGCCACTATCCCTCAGACATTCTTCTTGTAACACATTTTCTTCCAATGCTAACATTTGTTAAGTGTACACTGCAGTTCTGTGTGTACAGTAAGAAGCTATTTTCTGAACTTAGATAATACTGTGAGTATATATGATTCAGATTATAAAGTAGATTATTTTCAATACTGTTCAGATGAGAAGTGGATTTCTGTTTTGTTATTTCCATTTTTAAAAAAGTTTCTGCCAGGAGTTCTGCTAACTAATTCTTTCTTATTTGCTGTAGTGTACTAGTCCAGTAGTGTTTGCATGTGGATGTCTGTGTATGACAGTTATTGTAACACTTTGGCAGTACACTAAAAATCTTCTGCTATGAAATGTTTCTGTATTTTGTATGTGTTGGTAAACACACACGCTCACACACACCCACTTATGTTTTAAAAGTGGTGTATTCATTTAGAGAAAAACCAGTAGACATGCTTTTGTAAATCAGAGAAATGCTTGGAATTTCATTGTGCCTACCTATTCAACAGTTTTCTCTTTGCTTTGGAAATATTTGTACTCATAAAACCTATCTTAAAAATGTTGTCATTCATTAAACTCTCTTAAATAGACCACTATCTGTTGTGTCTGGCAGATAAGTATGTCGAGGATTGAGATAAACACACAAATCACAGAAAACCAAATAAATTTATAAACATGAAGAGAATTTAATGCTGTGACTTTAATTCCTTAAACCAACTTCTGCCCAATTAAAAAAATCATAAACTATTTTTTTCATACTCATTCCTGGAATTTTCAAAAGACAAGTAGTACTTTTTGCAAAGATAACAGCTTTCATTTGTCCATGGGCTCATGAAGTTTTATTGAACAAATTTCTTCAAATGACTTCTCTTTCTAAACCATTTTCTAGCAAAATGGTGGAGAACAGCTTTATGCTTTCAAAGTTAAGAAGTTTAATTTCTGTTGATATTAGCATAAAGTGCTATCACTCCTTTTAAATAATGGTACATATTTTAATTCCATCCTATTTCCTTTCTGTTCTCCTCAGGCACTGGTTTCTTAAAAATTTTTGCCAGTTGAAAACATAACACGATGGCTTAAAAGGAAATATTTTCCTGATCAATTTGGTTGTGAGTTAAAAATAAGTTAAAAATAAGTTGGTGTTTTTCAGCAATTAGCATATTAACATAACAAAATGCTTGAGTAGTAGCCATGAAACATGGATAGACTATGGAGTTTATTTGTCTCTGTGACCTAAACTCTTTATTGTTGCCCCCACCATACGTATGAGAAAGCAATTTGTAAGCTGGAGATTCTACTGTATTTGTTTCAAATTAACAAATATTTACTGAACATCATTGTGTGGATTGCAAGATAACATACTGAGGGTTTTATGAGAAGAGTAATATATGACCCTGACCTTTAAGGAGATCATAGTTGATGGAAGGAGATTAAAAAATAGTATGTTAAACAATTGGAGGACAAAAACAAAAACAAAAATATTAATTTGGTACCAAAATGTCTGAAAGTTTAAACAAAACAAAACAGAATACTGAGGAATTTATTCTGGACACAGAAGAGCACCAGTTAATGTATTTTAATTGAGAAGTCAGATCATGGAGATGTAATGGAGGTGTACAGTCTGAAATGAGAAAATTGGTTAGAAAGCTTTTTTAGCAGTCAAGGTATGAGATGATGAAGCATGAAGCCAGGACTAGAGTAGTGTCAGTGAGAATGAAAAGGAAGGAAATGGGTATCGGAGATATACTTCAAAAAGTTCATGGAATCATGTATATTATCTTTCAATTCTATTTTTACATGAACTATTTGAAGTCCTTGTATTTGAAGCATTTGAGATGTTTTAAATAGATATAGATGTCATTACAGAGAGATGAAGAGAGAAATCAGAAGTGGTGACAGGTTTACTGTGGGAGTATAATAATCATATTTTTACTAGAGGGTAGTAAGGAAAAATTCTTTTGGGGGATGACTGTATAAAGATGATGTGTTTAGTCAAATGATAATAAAACATAGTTATCCTGCATAAACTATAAATATTATGGTTTATTCACTTTTTAGAGGACAGCAGGCCACTTCCTCTTTCATGGTTTCTGAGGCATTCTCAGAACTACCTACACAGTTCTGATCCTCTTATTCCTTTTGAATTACCAGAGGCCTCCTTACCTTGTCTTGAATGATTTAGGTCTATACTAACCAGTATTGTAGCCACTAGTCATATGTGTTTATTCAACACTTGAATTGTGGCTAGTGTGACGAAGGAACTGAATTCTTAATTTAATTTAATTGATTTATATTTTAATTTTAAAGCTGAAGCAGTATAAAATATTTTTTCTGTTAGACACAGCTCTATTTTTAAAGAAGGATTAAATTTTACTTTAGTCACTGAAAATTTAGCACCTGAATTGAGATGTGCTGTGAATGTAAAATACAAACCACATTTCCAAAGCTTGGTCAAGAAAAAAATACCATATATCATTAGTATTTTAGTATTAGTTACATTTTGAATAACATTTTGAATAGATTTGTTTAAAGAAAGTATATTATTAAAATTAATTTTTTTAAAACT